CTCTTAGCAACCCTATGAAGGAGAGTCCTCAACGCTTGGGTGTCTTTCATCCTCTCTCCAGGTTCATAGGGTTTCTGTATATACTCTCTCTATATAACTATATATATATAGTTGTTGTTGTTAAGTGCCATAGAGTCAACCAAGCATGACTTATAGTGACACTATGAACAAAAGGCCCGAAGCCTTTCTATAACTATCATCATTTATTTAAGGTCATATAGAGTGTCCAGAGGCATGTTGTTAAGAAAGTGGATGCCACTCCTGCTTCCAAACCTGTCTTAAACTGGGAGCTCCACCAAATACTGTCCACTATAAGTAACTATTATGGCATTTGACACCCCAATGGCACAACGTTCAGCATCACAACAACCCAGGTTACCTCAGTACAGCATATTGACAGAAGAGTGCTGTACCACTTAGAAGAATGTTCCTCCAAAATATAATAACAACCAACTTTTAAATACAAATGCCCTACCCAATGTCTTCTTGACTCTACACAAGAGGCTTAAATAAAAAACAACCAATATAGTATGTTTTCGTTGTTATGTACCATTGAGTCACCAGCAACGTATTGTAACCCTATGTACAGCAGTTCTGAATCCTTTCCTGTCCTGAGCCAGTCTCATCAATTCTGACACCCCCCACCCCCATTGCCCCAGGTAACCTGACAAAGTGTGGAAATTTTTGAACAATATCACTAATATCACCCACAAGCAAGATCCTGCTGAAGATTATCCAAAAATGACTGAAACAGTACATCATCAGCAAAGAAATGCCAAATGTGCAGGCTGTGTTTAGAAGAGGTTATGGCATTAGGGACATCAAGACAACATTAGATGGATGTTGGCTGAAAGCAGAGAGTACCAGAGGAAAATCTATCTGTGCTTCATTGATTATGCAAAGGTATTTGACTGTGTGGATCACAGCAAATTGGGTTAACCTTGAGAACAATTGGAATCCCAGAAAACTTAATTGTGCTCATGTAAAACCTATACTTGGACCAGGAAGCAGTAGTCAGAACAGAGCAGTAAAATGCTGTATGGTTCAGGATCAGGAAATGTGTGTGTCAAAGATGCATTCTCTCACCATACCTTTTTTTTTTTTTT